TGAATCCAACATAACTAATTAGTTTTCTCTGCTGAACGCAGCCAATGGACGGAATTATCGACAATACGCGAGTTTCTCCAGTCTCTATTGGTTAGTCTGGTTTGTCCGACTACGGCCATGAACGTGAAAACAACCGAGAAGATAAACGCGATGTCTCACCAGTGGACGTGATGTCATAGGCTGGGAAGGCATTAATTGCGCGAACTGTACTTGCATACATATATACCATATTTGTAGTCATATTCACTACGCGCCGAAATATTATTATTTTCGGATTATTATTATTAGGCTGCGTTCCGTTACACGCATGATGCGCATAATGTATCATTTATCCTTGTTTAACATTCATTGAACAACAAGGATAAAAGATGCATCATGCGCATCATGCGTGAAACGAAATGCAGCCTAAAAGTGAGTTCACGCGTCGGGCCTATGAGATTTGAATTTGTTTATTTACGTCGCCTGAAAAAGACGTTTCGTACATATGCCAAATTTGCGAAAAATATTACTAAGGCCTCAGTAATCTCACACGGACGCTCACACGGAATGTAAGAAATCCGGATTCGACTCCCGGCCGAGGTAATATTTTTCGCAATAATTAAAATTTATTTAAGATCTCTCCAATAGATGTCTATTGAGCATCAAAATTTAATTTGTGATATTATTTCAGTAGTTTAGCTGCGTTTGTAAAGTTCGGAAAAATTTCGAGGCATGGCGAATATGACTACAAATATATGGTATATATGCAAGTACACATATAGTGTGTATATATATATATATATATATAATTCACATTTGTGAATTATTTAAAAAAGCAATTAAGATCTAGTTTCGATCGGCATTAGGCCTTTAATTCATATTATTAGTGAGTCCACGCGTCGGTCCTATGAGATTTAAATTTAAATTATTATTTCTTAAATTATGAGACTATTTTCCTAAATCTTTTCAAATTATTCCCAAACTTTTGCAATAAAAAACATGAGAAATGTTACGTATTTCTGCTAACTATATGCTCGATTAATTTTCATTGATTATAAATAAATTATTATTTCCTAAATTATAAGATTCTTTTCCTAAATTTTCCCAAATTATTCCAATAAAAAAAAAAATGAAAAATCTTAAACTTGTCTGCTAAATATACGGCGGTGCTGAACGCAGTCATTAATTTTTTTGTCGCACATCACAAAAATCGTGATGTGCGCGTGCGTGCGCACGGAAGGGTTGCCAATCTTTACGTCTTCTGGCACTTGGCAGTTCTGCCTTCTGGCATCTTCTTCGTAGCTGTTTGTAGCTACGCTGCGCTTGTCATGCTCGCATTACAATGTGTTTACATTGTAATTTGCGAAGCGTCACAATGTTGTAAAGATGAATCACTTTGCGTCTGACAGTATGAAACGCGCGGTAATATCTGATCTACGTTCTGTCCGTCTTAACTGTTTTTAACACGAGCGATGATGCGTTGTGTTTTTACTTTTGTTCTCATGAGATAATGTTAATTCTAGGTTATTTTAGGTTATTTTGTTTATATTAAGCAATATTAACATATGCGATTGCATCGGCGTATGTTCACATTACAAAATGAATACTGTTTCGACAAAGTAGTATTCGATCGTAACATATTGTAAAATTTATGAATCATAGAACGCGCACTCCGTTTTAATTCACATTTTCTTGATCTTCAGATGCCTGAGGAAAATCATGAAACCAAGCGAGTCTATGTCAAGCAAGAAAACTTTGGATACGATGCTCCTTCATATGCTAATTATTCATCGTCATCGTCATCGTCGTCGTCGTCCATACCCTCCACTAATGCTCAACCTTTGCCTGGACAACCACCTCTGCCTCCTATGCCACCACCATCCAGTAGAATTCCACCCCCGCCTCATGTATTTGAACCAGTGCCTTCTCAAGTAACTCCCATTCAAGCATGGATACATCCTACGTGGCAATGGATAGCGTCGCAAACATCTATGCCACCTCCACGCGAAGTTACTAATACGATTCAGAGAGAAATGCCATTGAGGGGTAATTACGTGCGTCACGAAAGATTTGCTCACAATAGAAGCAACATGTATGTCCAGAGAAATAATTTTCATCGTAAAAAAAGGCCTGTACGTTTTGGACCACCACAAGGTCAATTTGATCAAAATACATATCTCGGATTACAATGGCAAAGAAATGTTTATACTGTAGCAGCAAACGATGATGTAAGAAACCACATGACTGTTCCTCTATCTTCCCATTCTGTATCTCCCATTCCTTCAGGAATTATAAATAATATGACGAGGCATGACAAGGAGATGGAAGATCAAGATGTGAAAATTGTACTATAAGTGAACATATTTTTAATTGTGTACATACTTGTTACAAATATAGCTGATGTTTCAAATTTTTCAGGAAAAAGTAATAAAGAAGAATAAACAAAGAAAGCCAATGTCTCAAAGCTATCCTAGTAAGCCATGGAATAGAGAGGATGCAGAGAGAGCACTGATGATTGAAAACGAATATAACATGAAGAATAAAGTTAATGCGCAGAGCTTAATAATTAAGTTTCCTGATCCGGACTTAAATAAGGATATTGTTAAATTATTTCATCCTGGTATTCGAAATATACATTTTCAAAATCCTAGTGGTCCAAGATATTGCTTCATTCAAATGGCGAAGAATGTGAATATTGATGAAGCTATGAAAGAATTGGAGAAAATCAAGTTTGGTACAGGATACTTAAAAGTCGAGAAAAAAGCTGTAAGAAACGAGGATGTCCGAAATACGAAGCCCGAAGACATAAATCCTTACAACTTATATATAGGAAATTTGCCCACGTTCGTTAAAGCAAATGAGATAAAAAGCAAATTTCCAAAGGCACGAGTTGATGTATCAAGAGCGCGGAAATTGAAGAACACACAGTGAGTTATAAATATATAAATCTTATATAAAAATATATAATTCATATAGAGGAAATTATATTTAATTTATATAATTGAGAGAGGAATGATATAATTTTCAGTATTATACATTATACTTGTATTATATTTACATTTTGTTGTAGATTTGCTTTTATGAGATATAATAGTGTAGATGATGCAATAGCAGATTACAAAAAAGCATATGGTTTAATGTGGGATACAAGGAGTATTATTGTTAAATTTCGTCGAAAAGAAGGTAATTCTTATCTTCCTGAAGAACTTAAACCTGACATTAAGAAAATTAAAGAAGAGTCAAACAATATTGCACAAGTGAAAAAGGAACAAAATGTGAATCACATTGAATTTAAATCTAATGTTAACAAGTCAAAAGATGAAAAAAACAATATTGGTCAAGAGGATAAAGTCGATCATGATAAATCATCAACAAATCAAGATAGGAATAGCATGGAAGCGCGGTTACAGGATAATTCCATTAAAGCACAAAATAAATCAGCCTCGCAAATTGAGGAAAATACAAACTCTCATTCCTCTTCGGTACCAACTTCAATCACATCAGATAAGACGATACAAGAGCAACAACTCCGGGTAATAGATATAAAATCAATATCAATATTATGTTATATATTGTAATTATGGATTTGAAACAAATTCTTATGGTATCACTTAAAAACAAGATGAAACTACATGAAAATCTGGAGTTTTCAGAGCATTTCTCTTTCGCCCTAGAAAATCAAAGATTTTAATGGAATTTTAATGGAAAATCAGAAATTTTTAGAATTTTATTTTTAAATTTAAATTTACTCTTTTTGGAAACATTATTTCTGTTATCATTTTTTCTTGAGAATACAAAATGTCAATTGATTAGCAATAAGTATGCTACACATTCTCCCGTACATTTATATCCATTCTTGCGTACGTGCATGCGTGCGTGTTTCGCGATTTTTAATTAATTTTAATTAATTTTAATTAAAAGTCAAGGTGTGACAGATGAGAATAGAAAATATACAGTGGAAGAGAATATTCATTACAGTAAACTCCCTATACTTATCCTACAGATTTCGCAGCTCCAATTATAGAAAAAGATAGATAATTTCGTGGAATTCGTCTTCTACTTTACAATTTGTAGTTTGTTTGCATTACTTGCATTACAATTTATTTTGAAGTTTTATTAAAATATTCTCTAATTTCACTTGAAATTTTGGATAAGAATACCTGAAAAATTTGAAGATAATCTCAGAGAATTTTTTTTTAAAGATTTCGGAAAACTGAAAAAACTGTTGAAATAAATTTCGATATGTTTGATTAGACAAAACGAATATTTTGCACAATTTACATATTACGATCGCCCTGAAGGTTAATGCTTCTATTTGTTATGTATAAATGTCACAGGTTTCTTCTGAAATATCTTCAACATCGGAAAATTCATTATCATGTTCAACTCAGACCAATGCCACCGAGAAAACAATGATGCTTACACAAATCAAAGAAGAACCCATAGATTACGATGAGATAGACATGTGTAACATGCAGTCGGATGATAACGACGATGACGACGATGACGACGATGACGATGACGACGACGACGACGATGACGATGACGATGACGATGACGACGACGATGACGATGACGATGACGACGACGATGACGATGACGATGACGATGATGACGACGATGACGACGATGACGAAGACGATGATGACGA